GTTCCTGTTGTCTAGCTCTCTAATGGGTTATATGGGAATATTTCGGCTGCAAAAGGTTCCATATTCAATAACCTAAATTGTATGTATGCAGAGGAGTTTTAAATCAGTGTTAAAGAAGTTTAAGGTTACTCAAGAAAATAGCGGATAAAACTTGCTAGGGCTTTAAAGAAAACGCTTCTCGTGTTATACTTTTAATGACCAGAGATTTCAAGAACGGCGAAAGCTGAGCCTTGTCTGCACAAAAAGGCTATTTTCTTAGTGATTGGCTACATCCAAGAGGCAAATAATTCAGTTAGTGTAATATTTTACCAAAAATTAAAATAAACTTATCTGGCCAAGAATAAGAAACTTTTCTATTTTTTGCACCTCCGCCCTCCTTGAATAAGCTCATGGAAAGGAAAAATAAGGAAAATGTAATATTTCATGACACTGGAAGACAAAGACATGCCAAAATGGAAATTAAACAGGTTTTCTTTTGTCGGATCGGATTGGAGGATTTTGGTTGTGTCGCGTTCAAATTTTCCAATCCCTCCATAATATGTAACATTCTTATGATCCCCTACACATTGACAGTAAATTGGCGGTCAACTATATATTCCCTTCCTTTATACTCTGTTGGCCACGACTGATCCCCCTGTGCCCCCCCTGAAAACCATGATATGATCCCATTTCACTCCCATAAGTGATCGAGACAGAATTTCTCCTTATAATACCAATACAATATCATGCAGACACGTGATGAGAATTAAATAAATATTAAATAGGTGATTATTAGTTGATCCAATACCAAATTCTCCAAACTAGCATCACAAGAACTTTATGATTGACAGTAAGGAGAATTACTAACGAGATCTTGAGAGTTTAAGGGTTAAGGCATTAGTCATTATTATCACCATTATTAATAGGTGGATGATTGGATAGGGAAATAGAATGGCTTTTAAGGGGGTATGGAGGGTGGGGAATCAGTCGTCAGAACATTAGAACATTACAAAATCCGCCGAACCCCTCCTCCCTCGTGATAAATAATGCTGGTCTGTAAACTTGGAGAAACTACGTTTTATTTTAACACAAAGTTGTGTCAAAGTTGCCAGCATGGAGACTGAAAACAATGCATTCTAATCCTAGTTGTATACATGAAGTTTGTCATCATAGACCTAGTTGAAGGGCGTAGCCTGGCACGAGAATCCTCTAGTTCAGTGGTAGAGTTTCCGAAGTACTAATCGTTGGTTTGACACCTATTGGGGGCACTCTAATTTCTTTTTCTTTGAGTACAACTTCGTCACTCACATAATAACACTTTCCACCTTCTTCATTGCTTCAGTGTATCATGGTTACCACTTTCATTTAAACCAATGCTTCCCACGAGGATAGCTAGAGGAAAAAACTAGAGGTCCTTGTACAAATACCCATAACTAAATCTCTTGAGTGGTGTTTCGTTAGTCCCCTCGCTTACATCAAGTCAATCTCTAGCGGGTGAACAGGATCCTCTTAACATGGTTTTGTCTTGCATCAGAAAATGACTATAAATTTTAGTTTCAAGTGAACTAAATTTCTGTACCCCTAACTAATTTTCCGGCTCACTGCCTTAGTTTTTCTCACTATAAACCCAGACCCTCTTCAACTCTCAAAAACTGAAAGGCAATTTGTGGCAATACTGACCCATTTGTCGTGGCTCCTGGTCGATAGGTTTGTTGGTTACTAGCGAAGGGGCAAAAAAAACAACCAAACAAAAAAAAAAAAAACTCAAGGAAAAGTGTAAGTTTCGATGTTTTCTGGGGCGACAATTACCTCTAAGAAGGCGAGCGGTTATCTGATGGCGTGTGGTGTTCAGGGTAGCTTTTCATTGCCAAAATCTAGCTCGCCAGGCCTCCATAATCCCATACTGTCATTGAGAAAGTGATTTTGGGATTGTGGTAAAGTGAAAAAGGTCAGCAATTTAATGTCAAAGCAGAAAATGAACAGACACATTTATTTGTCCCTTGATTAACACATACCATTTTCATGTAAATTACATACTGTTTGCTGCTTTTGACCTAAGAAGGCGCATAATGTACTCATTTTTTCTTACATTGCTTCAAATTACTTGGAAACTAACAGCTGGAGAAGAAAGATAAAATAGCTTAGTTTCTTGCAGACTTCCAGCACTTCCCTCGACATATTCCAGGTACAGGTCTACTGCTACAGTGTATGTTCCAGCTTTAGTAGTGTCGTATTCAGAAGAAAGATCGAACTTTGACGAAACGGTTTCTCCAGCGGCAATGGTCAAGAAAGCGCCTGCACCGGGATCTTCTCTCTTCATCATTATACCTTCTGGACTCAGCTCCTTTCCGTCTCGGCTGACAGTCAGACCGTTAACGGCTAGGTCGTTCAGCGGTGTGTTCCATTTTAGAACCGAATATGTGCAGTCACCGTTGTTTGTCAGGCTGAAGTCGCATACAACTGTGGCTGTTGTTTGATAAGAAGTTGCACACTCGACTGAGGCAGAAAAAAGCCTGGTAGAGAAATAAATGATATTCTGTAAACTTCTGGGTTTAACCTTATCCCCAGTTCTATACGGATAAAAACACTTTTTCTGTGGTGTTAGTATACACATTAAGGGCTTGAAAAGGAAAAAAACTAAATCTGCCCGAAAAAATGCGTTAACATTATTAATGATTACTAGATGGCAAGAATAGAAGTAAACTTCTAAACATGTGCCTTGTTATTATCTTTTTTTAATCATATAATGGACAAACAAATTTTTTTAAGATAATGAAAATTGTTCAAACAATAATATATAAAATCTGGCTAAACCAAAGCCTGCTTAGTCTGATCATCGTGCATGACAATTAACTGAACCGAAAATTTCCGTTTTATTCTCTTTTTTGCCGCTAATTTTATTTCTTTGTATCACACTCACTCAGCTTCTCGTGGATCCTCTGCCCTCACATGTGTTGTTAATACAATCAAAGTAGCTGACCAGCTGCAGAGTAATATCTTTGGTAGGATCAAGACTTTCATCTTAAAAAAAAATACACAAGACCGTGAGCATGTAGAATTAAAATAACTCAATAAATAGATCTATAAACTAAAGATGATTAAGGAACAGATCAATAAAAGGTTCTGAAATGATTCGAGTTTGTTCGTATTTGTTAATTTTTCAGTCATCTCTCTTTCCTTTCATGTATGTTAAATCAATAGATAGAAAGTGGAACCAAATTCATTTCCAGTCGCTCTGAAGACACGTTGCACTGAATACGTAGCATCATGAGAACGGCCATTTTCTTCGTTCTTCTCAGCTTTTTCTATTCTCGATCATCCTTATTCACGGCAAGTGATAGACACCCGAATGCCAGAAGCGTTCTCCGTATGGCTTCAATCTCGTCTTTTTTTTCTTGTTACTTATTTTGATGAATGAGAATACAGGTTAACCTTTTGATTGTGGAATGAACAGTTCCATTTAGGCATGTTGGAAAAAAGATGAACAATTTCTTTCCTGGAAAGTTTATCTAGATCGAGCTGTTTATAGAAGAAAGACCCCTCATCTGTAAGCTGTAGTAATAAATAGCTACATTATTTTCACAAGTATCAAACAGGCAGCTATTTTCAACTTACCATTTCGTTCGTAGGAAGAATTGAACAGTTCTGGCACAATGATTGTTCAAACGCTAATGTTAATAATTCGAGCCAAAACGCCACCTCACTATAAAAATGTTTATTCATCTAGTCCTGGCAGACAAAAAAAAGCATTTTTCTTCACATGGAAACAATTCAGAAGCACTGTTGCTCGGAAAATATTTACTAACGCACTTGGATGTCTTTGTATAATATGCGGTACCTGTAAATTAATACTTATCGGTAGTAAGCACCTTGATAATAGACACAATTCAGAAGCACTGTTGCTCGGAAAATGTTTGCTAACGCACTTGAATGTCTTTGTATAATATACAGAGCCTGTAAATTAGTACTTATCGGCAGTAAGCACCTTGATAATGCTTGTAATAAAAAAAAATTATCGCTTAACCTGATGCGATAAGTTTGAGGTAATAATGTAAAATTGGCGCTTACTTGATTTGCTTGAAAAAATGTGACTCGGGCGAGGAATTACAGAGTTTTGTGTTTCAATTTCTTTTACTACTTATGGAAGTAACTAGCTTTAAAATTATGAGAAACAGTGGCAAATAAACCAATTGAAAACCAAACCGAACCAAAAGTCGGCAAAATTGTATTGTTAATGTTTAGCTTCAGAAACTTCGTACACATTCATAATCGGATATTGACTAACATAAGTATTGTGAGTTGCGGAGAGACCGTTGTTATGCGGAATGAAGAATGCTCTTGCCACTGCCTTTGTTCTTTCCCGCTGTTCAGTTTCCCCAAATGACTTAATAAACATTATTTAGAGTTACCATTACATTAGACAACGAGCGCGCGGCACATAGACTGGTAAGTTACGTTAAAATTTTTTTATATTCGGCTTTCCGCCTTGCCAAAGTAGTTTTGGATTGGATAGTTCTGTTGACGACGATTATATCGGGAAGCAAAGTTTCTGTCGAATGCGCAAGGCATTCAGGGGAGTCGTTTTGGGAACGTTATCGATATGAAAAGAAGTAAATTCTTGAAAAAGTCTCCGTTTAAAAAGAGGAAAACCTTGACCACAAAAAAAAAAAAAAAAGCGACCGCAAAAAAAAAAAAAAAAAAAAAGGCGACCGTCAATTTAAAATCTGTTAAGCTAAAAGCACAACTTACAGGATAATTCTAAGTCGAAGCTAAATTATCTTCAACTAAACACTAATAGATGTTGTACAAATGTACAAAAATGGCTTCATTGTCAATTGTCTCAGTCAAACTATTCATGAAATAAACTCCTCCCATATCGAGCGTACTCCAGAAGACCGTGCAGATGATTTTGAAATTACAATATACTTTTAAATCTCTTTTCGTAAAGAACTAATAACTCGCAGGTTAGTTTGAGTTCATGTCGTTGAATCTGAAAAGGCTTTGTTTCTTTGCAGCCAATTATGAGATTCTTGTGGATATTGCTTCTACTGACGATGGTAGATGGAGAACGAATCGTAGAATCTGACAACAAGTATGTAATAAGCTACACCTTCCTTTACTCAATTCTATTGCAAGGATGCAGTAGGGGGGGATTTATATTGATGGGCCTTTTCATTTGGCGAAGCTATGTTATCATTTGGATACTATAAAAGACCACGTCAATGAATAAATCAATTCAAGAGTTTAATTTGTTTGAACGCAAAGATATATGACCCATTATACCACGGTTGGGTATTAGCTGAGACGGAACTGGTAAAACCATAAAAAAAGTGATACTTGTTCACTCGCTATTTGTTCACACAGAATATTCTCCTGTCTCCTTGATTGTCCACCGAGCTTCAAAACTATTGACAAGATTGAATGTAAGTTCCTTTTGAGAAACAACGGTAAACAAGACTATTCAGTGCTGAAATGGCGCACACCGCTGGATGGACTGAGATCAGATTGCCTGACAGTAAATACCAATGGCAAGAAGCTACGATACGATGGTGTCTACATGAAGCGCTCTGCCCCAGGCCCTGACCAATACTTGCTCGTCAAACCCGGACAAACAGTGTCGTCCACCTTTGACATTTCAGATGCGTACGACATGACCAAAGCCGGCCTGTACTCTATGGTAGTGGACACTTATTTAGAATATGTTATGGGTAGTGTAATTAAAAAAGCCAGTTATCCAATCTAACATAGTTCATTTGAAATCTTCTTCTGTAAGTTACGAGATAGTTGATGGAAGTTTCATGAAGCGAACCCTGGGCCAAAGAGCGCGTTCTCTTGAAAGATCAAACGAAATTCACGAGGAAAGTCTTACCCGGGAGGGTTTGGACGTTGAATTTGGTAGGAGAGGAGAAGAATCTAACGAAATTAAATATTCCATGCAGGGAGGATCTAAAGCCTTGAGAGACGAAACAGAAGTGGCAATTTTGGCTGCTAACACGAAAATAAAGTCAGCGATTCAAGATATAAAGAATAATCCCCAAAGAGCAAAAATTTGGTTTGGGAAAACCTTTATGAAAGCAAGAAAGGTATTCCTAGATATGAAAATGAAATCAGCGCAGACAGAAATGATATATATCTTTGATGGAAAGCATTGCAAAAAAAAAGTTTTGCGTACACTTACCTTGGCTCCCAAGAAATCTTTCTCTGCAAAGCTTTCAATGAGGCAGAAACGTTAGTTGGGTTTGATACCAAAGCAGGAATAGTAATACATGAGCTGAGTCATGCATTAAGCTACAGAGACGATGTAACATACGGTACGGATTCTTGTAAAAACTTGCTAAAAAAAAAGCGAAAAAGGCTCTCAAAAATGCTGATAATTACGAATATTATGTTGAAAGTGCACCAAATGTATAGTCATGTTTTTTACCGTCTGTGCATTTAGTCAACGATACTCGCTGAGATATAGCGATGTTTTAAATTTGGTTAGTTTGAGGTATCCATAATCTGCCTTAAGCTGAGGGAGCTGACTTTAATGGGTTGAAACGGTGATATCGCGACCGACAGAACTTTTATATTAAGGCTTAAATTATGTGTATGGGGGGACTGAGGGTCTTACGATATATTTAATTATAAATAAGAGGCAAGGAGGATCTCATGATCGAGTTGAAATAAAGAAATAAGTGCGAGAAAAGTTTCCAATTGTTTATCCGAGGGGCCTAGGCCTTAGGTTTAAATGTTTACTCAGATAAAAGTAAGTAAAAGTTACCTGACGTCGGGCTTTTTTTTGCAAAAAAGTCTAAGATGGCGAATAAGGAGTCCCTGTGTTCTCCGGCTGGGATGTTCACAGTTTTTTCCTCTAAAAAAATATAACTGCACATCTGGCGTGTATTTGAAAAAAAAATTGATATGCTCCTTCTTTGAATAGGCTCTCCGGAAGGAATAAGAAGTATTAGATTTGAATACAGGAATGGAACATTCACTAGTCGTAATGAATATTAAATCTTTTTAACACTAAAGGCAAAGTTGATGAGACACATTGTTTCACCAGATTCAGTCACTATTTCTTGTACAAGAGATCCAAATGCTGAAGCCTTTATATTTAAATGGAAAAAAACTTACAAGAAACCTGCTCGATTTGAAAAATAGGGCTATTTGTTTGTTTTTGCACAGATTGTAAACATCCATTAATGAATAATGGAAACACGTTTTGCCAGATAAAGCTAGAGTGACCGTTGTCATGTGAAGTAAAGAATGCCTTATTTCTTTTTTCCTGTAAAATTTCTGTAAAGTGCATGATTCATATTACGGAGAGGCACTGGAGAACACATGTTATGCGGTATATCTGTTGCATTCAAGTATAAAACCAGACAGTACAATAGCAGAGTATGTGAATTAAGGCGCGGTTTTTCTTTAATCATTGATAACATGAAAAACAAAAGAAGTGACGCAACCTCTTGCTAAAACACAGTATGAAAACAAAATTCTTCTTAAAGCACTTGATATCTAATCATTTGTCAATATCAACTACTCCAAAACATTCACCGGTCACCGGCGAAACTATGAAAATTATCCGGCCGTCAATATTTCAAAAAATGATTTTAAACAAACTAGCAAAACAATTAAATTCGTCAAAGTTAGGATGAAAAGTAATCGAAGCTGGCCGGTAAGAAATGATCTTTGGCATTTTGAGACTAGGTAAACAACCATTAGAAAAGGTAAATAACCGCGTGAATTTCCGAGATGCAACGTGGTTGATGTGGGAAGAAAAGAATGCTTCAGATTTTGCTTTACATTCATGCTCAATATAAGTGGAACACATTCTCTCTTAGAGTCATCACTGAGACATCGACCACGTTCGAGGCACATAACTTGGTGATTTGACTTTTTTTTGCATGCTGTGGACCAATACTATTGTTTACTGAGAAGTTACTGGAACTTGCTGCTCGAGGTATAAATCATGAAAGCCGGCCATGATCGATATCTGAAATAATCAACCGCTTAGAAATTTTTGAATACCAAGAGATTTGTAAACGGGGTGCCACTGAAAAGATTTCTTTTTTAGTTTGGCCTCAACCTTTCACTTAAGCTCCGAACTCTGATCATGCATTTCATATGAGTAAATTGCTCGTTGAAAACGGATCAAAATCTCTGAAAAATTTATCTTGCTTCACAGTTTACGATGAAGTTCTTGTGTATACTGTTGATTTTGGGGTCGATGGAAAGTGGACAAGCGCCCCATTTGACATTTCGATACCAAGTGAGTACTGAATGATCTTTTCAATGACAAATATTGTGAATTCCAGTACAGAGATAAAAACAGTTAGAATTATTTAAACTTTAAATCAAATAGTATCACTTAAGCTATTACTTGATCACGACGAAACTGCGTCACTATGTAATTTAATTCGAGAGTTTTCACTGGCTAAGACATCAGACACCATGGTTAACGAAGTATTACACCAAGTAAAGGGGGTGTCAGCTAAAATTTTGTCCTTTGTTTTGTTTATGTAATGAAATAATAATGCATAGAAAAGATTACAGTTTGAGCTTAAAATAACAAAATCATCTTTCCACAGAGTTTTCTCCTCTCATCTCGACTGTGCGTCAAACTATGAAACAGGAAACAAGATTGAATGCAAATTCCATTTGAAAAACAACGATCAACGAGAAGCTACAATACGATAGTATTTACCTGAAGCGCTCCGCTCCAGGCCCTGATCGATACTTGCACGTCAAACCCGGGCAAACAGTGTCATCTATCTTTGAAGTTTCAGATGCGTACGACACGACCAAGGCTGGCCTGTACTCTATATGCTAGCGAAAGTTTTTGTTTTCAACTTTGGCGGGGCATTCTGCAAGAGTAGGTAGTTTGCACACGCCTTTAACGGATCATACGTAGTATTTTTGCACGACATGTACAACAGGGCTGAAGATT